CCCAACATCATACTGTATTGCAACGGCTCTTGTTCTCCCCGTCGCTTTGACTCCGCAGGACCCCTGACACCGGAAACCTCGCCGCTCTTCTTCGGTCGGCCGTCCGACAGGCGATGGCGGTCTCCCTGAAGAGCAGTCCAGACTTCAACCGGCCGGTGACGCTGCAAGTGGGCTCCGAGCCGCCCAATCCCAGTCGCTTGGAACAGACGCGGGGGCCAGGCGGAGGAGTGGCAAGAGGGAAGAGTGGAGAGTGGGGATGGTGTGGGGCACGGAGACGCGTGGGCTTGGTTTCATCCATATCCAAGAACGTCCCAAAGAACGCGGATGATTTCGAGACATGTTCAGGTCTCGGTGAAAAATGCAATGGCGCAGCGGAACGTCATCCTACTATCAAACACAAGATCATTTCCATAAAGCTCTCCAGGCGCCCAAGAGCTGCCAGCTCTTCCAGATCCCGAAAGTGGTCTTGCGGCCGTATACCTAGCCAAACATGTGTACCGTCACGGTCCAGGTCTTCTTGAAACTTTTTACTCCTCCATCGTGGGCCGATTGCGGAAGGCTACCGGCGAGGCGAACGGTACCGCCGTGGTTCACCGCGTGGTTCATCCGTCTCCTCGACACGAAGGCGGACCCGGGCGAAGGACGAACATCCGTCCCGACGGGACGGTTTGGCCAGCGAGGCCCTCACAAGTCCGTGATGGAGATGGTCCAGTTCTCAGAAGATGTGCGGTGGTTGCTGGGAACTTGCTGTTTGGTTGTGGGTCTTTTCTTTTTTTTGTGTGTGTTGCTGTCATTTGTTGCAAGTTGACAAGTTGGGTACCAGGCGTCATTGATACCCTGTTGATCAGTAGTAGATACAGGATCTGCATTTGGATGCCTCGTGTCAGAAAGTCCAACTGATACAAGGACGTACTCTTACCTGGCAAAAAAAACCGATGAGTGCCGTGTTCTTCGCCTGGGGTTGGGGGTTCCGCAGCGCCTTCCCTGTTGACGGTCAGGAACAGTTCTTCAAGAGGTGTCCCGGGGACGTAGAATGTCGGTTCTCATCACGGGGGAGTGGTCTGGAGAGTGGGTGGAGAGTTTTCATCGGCAGATGACACCTGAGTTACAATCACTTGGTGGGAGAGACTTGGGATGGATCTTGATCCCATGGACTTGGTCTCTCACGGTGTTGAAAGATTCTTTATGCATCGTCTCCCTGGGGATGTTCACCCACCACGTCTGTTGTGTATGTTTTGTCACCCGCACAACAAACACGAGAAAGAACACTTGTCCCTTCCGGCTCGGGGCCTTCCCTGCTGGAAGACATGGTGTCCAAAACACGATATAGGAATGTAGGGTTTCTAAATTGAAGGGAACCAAACAGGGCCCTTAATAGGTACTTCGCTTGTCGCGTCGTTGGAGGTTTACGCCCGGGCACAAATCGACCCCAGTGCCGACAGAACACCGTTCTTGTCACTCGGTGCCTCGAACAACTTCCTCTCAACTCTCCACCACTCTTTGTGTCCTTTGCTGTTCGTGATGCTGTTTGGTAGCCGCTAGCCTTTGGAGAGCGCTTCGCGCTTGCGACTCTAGCCCTCATAGAGTAGGCAAGCACAAACATGCACACAGTCCTCAGCGCTGGCCAGGTACTATGGGGAAACGCCGCAGGCCCCTCACAGCAACAAATTCAAGCCAGACCCCAAGGTGTGGTGGGGCATGCGGGACGCTGCAGGACATCCTTGAAAGGTGGCGCCAGGAGTCTTCATGTATGTCTTCTTGTTGATCTTGTAGGCGGAGCTCAACTTCATTGGACGTTGTGAAGGTCCAGGGCGGGTGAAGGTCCAGGCAACTGCTAAAGTCACGGTCTTCAGTCTGCTTGAGGCTTCAGTCTGCTTGAGGCTTCCGCCTCTGATCCACCCTCCTCCATCGCAGATCACCGCCGGTCCTCCCCGGGTGCTCGACAGGCGTGGTATCAGCATACGTTGGCCGGCACGCCTGGTCCGAGCGAGGTCCTGGTGTGGTGCTGTCAGGTCCGGAGGGATACGATCCTCAAGGGGATCTGGTGGCTTGAGATCTGGTGGTATTTGTTATGTTCAACCTGATGATTCGAACCCACTTACTAGTACCTTTTCAATCAAGTTCAAATCACACCACCGGGGGGATTTGAGATTTGGTGCCTCAGAGTGTGGACTCTTAGCTCAGAAACTGGAGGCACGAAGAATCCGGAGGCATCAGGCATGTTCGGGTTTTCGTGCTTCAGCATCCACCCAACCCCCAAGAAGAGGAACATCACCGATCCCCCGTAGGGGTGCCATGTGAGTTGGAACGGAGGGCACCGAACTGTTGGAACGGAGGGCACGGCACATGTTTTTTTTAGGCACAGAAGAACCCGGACTTTCTGTTGGACATGGAAGTCGCGAACTTACAGCCCATGCTGTTGGCTGTGCCATGCTATTTACTTGGACCGGTGGTTCCCCCCAACCGGTATCTTTTGGGGTCCATCCACCGGCCTTGGGACGCTGTCCAGACCGAAATGAAACGGTCCCCCAGAACCCAGGTTGTGAAGGTGCCAGACAACGAGTCCAAAAAGAAGGCGCCAGACTGCTCGGGGCGAACCGGTGTGACCAAACAAGGTGTGTCCAAAACGAGACGTGATGTTGATATTTATATTTTATATAGATATTATTGTTGTATATTGTTTTTTTTTTTTTTTAATAGCACATCCACACATCATCATGTGTTTTTGGTGTTGCTTTTTTTGATTCACCAATGTGACCACCGTGTTCACCTCCTCGCTCCGGGTGGCTTTTGGGTTTCGGCTCCGGCCGCTCGGGCCGATGGACCATCAGTGACAGACGTGGGAAGTCACAGGAGTGATCTACGTTTCTACTAGCTTCTTGTTACTACTAGTAAGGCACTTGTTACTAGTAGCGATGCACTTGTTTCTACAAGCAGGAGTGGAACACTGGAATCCCAGTTAAGACATGTCAAGACACAGAAACCCTTCTGGTTGAGAGGGTCAGAAACCCTTGATCCTCCAGAGATTCGACATGATTCCTCTTCAGCGAAATTGAAGTCGCTCGTCTTCAAAGCGACCGTCTTCCGAGCGAAACCATGGTCCAGCAGGACTGTGAAATTGCAGCTGAGAGGTCATGCTGAACGTGTAGCAGTTTCAAGATGTTTCAAGTACAAATAGCCAAAGCCATCTAAGAACTCTAAGAACATGGAACCTCTGGGGAAGGTGCCCACTATTGTTTTGCTCCGGATCATTCCGTTGACCACTCTCCTTCCAACACAACAGACTCACGCCATCCCTCTCAAGCTCCATAGATAGATGCTCCACAAAGGAAGCTCGGCAAACCACTTGGGCCGACCGACTCGACCGGCCCAGCGCCCTCTCGCGCCGAAGCGGGAGCGCCAGGTGAGGAAAGCCCTCCAGCGGTGAGGAGTCGAGGTCTCACCACCGACGCATCGAGTCTCATGGCGCGATCTTCCGCGGAAAAGGTCGGGAGTGACACGGAGAGTCCGGTGATGGCGACTGTGAATCATTGTTCAATGCTGAAGTGGAGTGGTCACTTCTTTCTTTTTTTTGGTGGGACACACACACTTATAGAAATGCGTACTGACTCGAATTCCACTCGCCACACGCCCACCTAGGTTTGAATGCCTAAGGGTTCAGGATGGTTCAGGTAAGTGTTCAGGTAAGTTGGTACCTCCAGGAACCTCCAAAGCCCACGAAGTCGAACAGCGGAAACGCGACAAGCTGACGGCGTTTGTGCATGACTGCAGAATGCATTAGCACTTTACAGCACCTGAGAAGCCCGCAAAACAGCCTGGGTCAGGGCGGACCACTGGAGTCATTGTGTTCGAGGCAGGTACGCTGGGATGATCAGTCCCAGTATCACCAGGAAAGCGAGAGTGTCTTCGTTGGTGGCAGACTCTTGTTCCTGCTGCCACCCCCTGCTGAAAAAGAAAACAATCCAAAAGGAACCTTGTGACTCCAAAGGTTACACACACACACACATGTGTTGAAAGAGGTCGTTGTATTTGATAGACTCAGAACCACGATTGTATGAACCAAAGGATCCAGAAGAGTTAAATGCTTAGATTCTTAAACCACTGCGTTCCTGTGTCAAGACATGTCAAGATGCCTGGTTTCAAGACATGCCGGAACCACATGAACCAGCAGGGGGGCCGGAGCCAACACCAATACTCATCAGCTGCTTCAGCACCGCCTGGAACGCTGCAAGCGGTGGACCTTGGCAGGGGGCGGCATCTTCGCCCTGGTTGACCCGAAGCCGAGTTCTTCCCGGGCACCGGTGGAAATTGGAGCTTCTTTCTCACATGTTTTTCTCCAATAGCTGATGACATGCAGGGTGAAAGGCTGGTGCTGGTTTTTCGTGTGTATGAATTTCAGTTTCTCACGATCCAGCGAAACAGTTGTTTCACCGGCCATTCTGCACCAACCTTTCTTACCGAAGCTCTAGTCTATATCTCAAAGCCAGTGGTGCATCACTTCAATGAAGGTCTGAAACAAAGTGCACAAACATGCACACACCAGATGGTCAGAGCTCAAACGGACAATTCTCAATGACATGACCAAGCAGATCATGTGACAGCGTGACCACTATCACAAAGGACGTATTTCTTGCATAGTAAACAAACCACTCACTTCGAGTATATGGACACACGGGCCAAGGGTATTTGCAGATCGAGAGCATGTTAGACTCATGGATTTTCTGTGTCATCTTAGATGGTCCTCATACCGAAAAAGTATCTGAGACAAATCAAACATGACGCTTCGTGTTCCCGAAAGCACCTGCGAAGGGTTCTCCTTCAAGAACGGCTACCAGCTTCCTCGCTACGTAACTCTCATCTTCAGGATCCTCGTTTTTTTTCACCAGGAATCATGGGGTTTTTGTTCGATTGATGCGGGCCCGGCCAACACCAAAAGCTTCTGCCGTCTCTTCTTTTCCTTCTCCCCCACACTAAAAGCGGATGGTTTTGGACGTTCCCAGAGTCGAGACGCCGTCCCCCCCCAGATCGAGCGACGAACCAACCCACCGATCCCCGCCGTGTCCGTCGCGCCGCCGAATGGATCCCGTCGATGTGGGGCCGGGGCGACCCAGCGGGTCGGGACACGGGAAGGTGAGGGATGGGGGTGGAGCCTTCGGTGGCCACCGGGTCCACCGGAATGAGGGAAAAAAAACATAGGACCATATGAATCCATATGATATAGATTGGTGGGATTATTCGTTCTCATCCATCACCTATCTTCATTCATGTGAATGCCTCTTCTGCCTTCTTCCAATGCCATCTGTGTGTGTGCCTTTCGGGTGAAATGGCCATCGGCCGATTCAGTCCACCAGGGACTCCAAAGAAGGTCCAGGCTTCTTCCATGTGGCCAACGGTTGATGGGCCGACTGGGTCAGATTGGGTTTGGGAGCAAAGGACCGGGTGGACTGGGCGTTTTGGAAGTGGCACCAAGAGGTTTTGAAAGTTTTTTGACCAGAAAGTAACGTTTAACAGGGTGTACAACTACAACACACTAGGTACAGTATGTCTAATGTATGCCTTAATATGTCTTCTTTTTGATGGGGTTTGCGCCCAACAGTGCCATGGGCTTGGTGCTTCAACACTGACACCGATACAAGATCCGCATGGCGTTAAGAACAGAACCAATGAAGCAAGGAACCTTTCGCAGAAACCAATGACTGTCAGATTCATCAAGCATCGGCCGAAGCCACCTGGGGAGCTTCGTGCTGCTCAGCTTCGTACGTCGGTCGTGGCCCAGGAAACAACCTCAAGACCATCCCCCCTGGGGTGGTCTGGACCTCGGGAGATCGACGTCGCTCCGGCTCGCTGCGGCTCGCTCCGCTCCGGTCGATCGGACGGTGGGCACGGTGGTGGGCACGTCTGTCCGGTCGGCGCGGGGGGGAGTAGGGATGGCACCCTGCAGGTTCGAATTCCTCCAAACGGAGGCCTGCTTCCAGACCTGCTTCACTGCTCTCCACGTCTTCCACGTCTGCCTGGAGATGGCACCATCACTCAGGTGTTCGCATACAATGTCACATACATATAGGTGTTCATCAAACTATAGGAAGACCAGGAAACGTCCCAGTTCGACACCCTGGAAGGTTCGGGAAATAGACCGGTCTACCGTCTACCCATTGGTGGGTTGGTTGGTAACCTACTAAGAATACCCACCACGCCTCCTCAGTTGGATTCTGGACACCTCCTCAGTGGGATTCACCTCCTCCTCAGTTGGGCCTCCAAACCGTCCGCGGCTGAGTGATTGGGAGCGTGGTGGCGACCCGGGCGCCGAGGATGGCCATGCGCGTCTGGAAGCCCTTCGCAAGCGGGTGCAGGGGGCCGAGGGTCCTAAGCCGGGCTCGGAGGAGGAGATCGGGGAGGGAGTTCAGCTCTGCGTCTGGCTTGGAAGCACATGAACATAGAACCGTACTGCAGGACTGGTAGCGTAAGGTGCATAGTAGGTGCTGTTTGGCGTCATGCTTTTTGCAGATAAGTATTAAGTACGGCTCATGAGTCAAAATCTAAGACCACATACCGCATTCTGAGCTTCCTGGCTCCTCGACAGCAGGATCGGCACCCATATTCGCGCTCCGACCACATGCTGGTCCGCTTCCTCATCGCACGGCAGCCAGGGCGACCTAGAACTCGGGTCCCAGACCAGCCATGGCGGCGTCCATCTGAGGGTTTATGAAAGAAATGACAGCATCGCGAGAAGATGAGGCTTGCTGAAAGAGATGTGGAGAGAGAGAGAGAGAGATTGATTGATTTGTTCATCAAGCCGCAGACGCCCCTCGACACGTTTTTGTTCGCTTCAAGACAGATCTTTCATCGACACGAGGAACATCCAGTCACATCCCATCGGTAGAAACTCGAATGGGTGGTCCAACAGCCCTCCAGATGCACTCAGATACGACGGATTCGTATTTAGACCTAAGACAGTTTTGTTCAGCCAGGACTTATAGCTGGACCCTCGAACAGGTGTGGATCAGGTGACAACAGGTCTAGGGTCCTAAAACATCCTAAGGCCAATTGTTAGAATGTCCTGGTAGAGGATTGAATCTTTTTCGTGTCTGACTGGTGACTTACTGTTCAGTGGACCCTGGCCACTCCTCCCCAGCTTTGCTGAGTGCACTGGCACTCCTGGCCTCCCCAGGTGGGATGTGGAGAGAGCGGTGGCCATGCTCGAGAGCCACTACAGGCTGTCATTCGGGAAGTGTATGAAATCACTGAGGATAGAATCTGAACAGAGCTTAGAAGAACGGATTTTATGTTTGCTACCACACACTTCACAACTTTTGGATCCGTTCAACCAATCCCAGTTAGCACCAATTTCATGGACAAGTTCCTGCAATATCAATGAACCACAGAACGTCTTTGCTTGACCAGTATACAGCTGCATGAGTTGGCTACGACCTTTGGTGACATGCAGCAGAGTAGGTCCATGTGGCCCAATTCACTGCCCCCCCCTGGGGCCCATGTGCCATGTCGTCCTCGCCTTCAGCGAGACGAAGAGGTGGCTGGCGGAGACGAAGATGTCCAAGCTTCTCCTGGATCCCTTCCCGGAAGAGGCGAGCCCAGACCGGCCACCGGTCCTGGGTGACCGGTCCATTTGGGATGCAGCCGCCGGTCCTGGGTGCGTCAGTGTTTGTTTGTTTGGTTGGCACGCCCCATCCGTCTCATCATGTCTCATCCTTTTTCTTCTGTAGACTTTTTGGCTGTGCCTGTGCCTTTGTTTTTTTCGTTTGGGAAGGTCGTTCAGATGATTTTCGTGCAAACATGATCCATGCAGAATGGTCAGGTGGGGGAGTAACGAAGTCAATGATAAGGCTCTTCACAAGAAACCAGATGCAACATGATGCACAACGTTCTTGTCGCTGTTTTGCAACACACAGTGCCCCACAGAGCCCCGCCGGTTCAATTGAACCACTTTCTTCTTCCAGTTCCATGATCATGAAAAACGGCACGTGCAAACTGGACATGAACAACATATATTCTTCCAGTTCCATGATCCTTGGTTCTATTCAAGGATTTTTTTCAGCAAATCATCGACCTCCGGCGACTTTGGCTGCCGAAAACGTGACGACTTTGGCTCGCTCGTTCCAGATGCACATCAAGCGCTTCTACCCACAGGTGACTCGGCGGTGGGGGGGTGGTTTGTTGACTCGGCTGGAGTACGAACGGAGCACTGCACCGGCGGATCCAGAGATGGCGAGACTTCTTCGTGCTTTTATTCCTGGCTAGACTAGACTCCCATGGTGGGTCCACTCCCCTTCGGAGCCCCCCTTTTACCAGGGGCCCGGTTGACCTCCCAGGTAGTTCTATCTGTGTTCATTCCTTAGTGATGATCAACCAGTTTGTTCTGGTTTTGACCCACAGCCATTTCTGAGATCCGAACCCCGAAGAAGAACTGGTTCTCCGACGGAAAAGAAACCATGTGACCTCCTGGTTCTTCTCCCTGGAAAGTGACAAGTTTCATGATTAGAACTCTAAGAATCAGACGTTCTTTTCACAAACTGTCAGCCTCAAGGTTCTCCCTGGAAGACGCCCGGCCCAGCCACAACACGGCTGGATCACCCTGAGGCCTACCATGGAACCGACAAGCTCGGCCGCCCCTTGGCGGAGCAGCGCCGAAGTGCAGTGTCACGTGCCCCAAACGCAATTTTGCGAGGATGCACATGGAAGGATTTGATTTTATGTGTTTTTTCTTTTCTCTTCACCACCCCATGGCAGTTCCTCCGTCCTAAAGGGCCTTTATTCAACTGCCATTTGTGTTTTATGGTGCTGTTGGACAGAAGCGCCGTTCGGCTGCCATATCGAAATGGTGAGTACTTCAGTGGAAAACGATGGCACCCACCGAACGTGTCCAGAACTGCTCGTTGGCGTGGAAAAACCGAACTGATTTCAACAGGTCAATGATCGTCAATGATCACCCTCCTTTAGAAACGTAGCTTTGGAGGGGAAAATGCGGAAGGACAGAGGCGCATAGGTCCTAGGTCTGGATTCCAACTGGGAAGGAGGATTTGTGTATATATACCAGGGAATCCAAATGTGCATGTTTTTGTTCAAACACGTTCGCACAAAAAATCCGTGCATCCGGCCTTTTTTGTCAAATGGACAAATTTTCTGGAATTCCTCCGAATATTGGGTTTGATTGGGTTTTATCAATATAATTGTTTGGGTTTTTGTCGATAAACTGTTGATAAAGTTTGGGTTTCATATGGGTACGCTTTTGTACGGTATTGTTTTTTTGTCCATACGGCTAAATACGCTAATTCGTTAATTAAAATGTCCATACGATAAATTCTGTCCAAATACAGCCTTCGCACAAAAAAAAGTGTTCATACGCCTTTCCAGGTATATATATATATAACAGTATATGTATGTGCCGCACCTCCAGTCGGACACTCCAATGTTTCCAGGTCCAAAGCTTCGACTCTCGGATTCGACCGAACGTGTCGACTCCCGGACAACCCACCCCCACCCAGACAGGCAGGGTCGACCCGATTCGCTCCACCCGGTGCCGGGCAACCTGAGGTCCTTTGTATATCGAACGCCCTGGGCAAATCGACATGCCGCGACTCCTACAGGCGAATGTCGAACGAAGGATGGAGACCCCCAAGTCATGTACAGCAGTCTTTTTTAAATGTTACTGGTACTTCAAGTAAACTTGCATGGGATAGATACACCCTAGTTAAACAGAGCCTGAATTCACTGGAGAAGAATCATCACTGCTTCGAAGTGTTCTTTTTTGACTCTTATACATCCCTTTGACACAGCACACAGAGTGTGAGCCACGATAACTGGAAACACAGGCAACATGTCAGCGACATGTTTGCGGAAGCTCTTCGACGACCATGGCAAAGGCAGTAGAAAGATGGCCCCTAAAAATCAAACCACCATTGGTTTAATGGTCTGAAAACCAAGGAATTATTGCCATTGTTTTACTAAGGATTTTTACACTACACCACCAGGTCAACCATTCTTTTAATGGTCTTTGAAGGCTAGAAGTCAGCATTACGCATGACTTCAGTAACGGGCCATTGCGGAGTATCCACGACCTGTTTTTTTCTGCCAGGCCACGACCTGTGAGCGGATTCTCCAGTGCTCGAACATTCGGGTGCGGGCGTTTTTGGTTAGGCTGGTGCCTCTAAGACACAGGGAGTTGACTCTGTGAAATGACCCATCCGATGTGTGCACCAACAAAGGAGTGCACCAGATGGACATATGTGACATGTGGTTGTTGGTCACAAGCTGTGAAATCTCCACTCAGTTCTCAGAACATGTCACAACCAATGGTTCCTTCCCGGGATTTCCCCGCACTTTCTCGTCGCCGGAACTCACCAAAACGGGTTTGACCTGAAAAATGGGTCCCAGTGAGGGCTGGTGAGGGCTGTGTCGTGGCGAGATAGGTGTATTCGTGAGACTGGGACTCAAGAAGACACGGTGGTGAGACAGGGCAGCTGCATGGGCAGCCGGAGCATACGGAGCAGTGTTTTTGACCAGGTACTTCTACGCGCAGACGGAGCTCCAGATCCGTCGACGACTACCGGTGGGGGATGCCTATTTTGTGGGGTGGTGGATGCCGTGCCAACTCTTTGGCTGGTTGGGCGGGGTCGGGGGGTCGGGATGTTCGGCACACCATGTGGGCTGGATCCGCCAACCCTTCCTCTTTACCCAAGCTGGGCGGACCTCTGGCAGATCTTCCAATTTTTGAACAGACACTCTTGGGTGAAAAAGGAGGAACCGGACAGCCGACCGCCGACCGCCGGTCGACGACGGAGTTTCTCGTCTCGCCAGCCCTCGCCGCTGAGGCCTGCAGTCTCGTTCGGGGTGAGGTGGTCGACAAGCCCCTGAGCCAAGTTGGTGGATGAGCGCGCTGGGCTGGAGACTAACCATGACATGCAACCATGTCTATCTGCTTGGTTATTGTGAAGGCCCCTTTTGACAACAAGTATAACAAGACACATCACAGTTTGGTCGATGTCATCAGCTAAAATACGACTGGACTGCACAACTTGTTGGATTTGGATGAGAATCAGAATCCAGTGATCCTGGGTCCTGGGATGATGTTTTATTCTGTGGGGGATGGGTGGCCAGCCTGGCCAGCCCAACAAAAGAGACTCCCCTGTGACAACCAAGAAAATCAATCCCGACCCTGAGGTTTTCACGCTTCTTGAATGATTGACCCGTGACACCGAATGGCAAGCCTTGGACGGTCTCACTTCGGAGCGCGGATGGCTCCGAAGCTTCAGAAAAACCCATGGCTGCTGCTGTGAATTCCAACGTTGGAACGGCCACCGCACCCGATGCACAGGGTCAGACCCTCGTTGACTCGTTCGTCAGGTCTTTGAACATCATGGACTTGGATGGCCTCAGCTTCCGAATCGCAGGGGAGACTCAGGCCATCGCACGCCTGGTCCGTGGCCAGACGTCCGATACGATACGATACGGGAGAGATCTGCTGGCAAATGGAGGGCAGGAACCCTGAGGCTCACCCATCAACAGCACAGTGATACTTGATGATACTTGTACATCGTTTTCTGGCACTGCCCCGAGAAGATTCTCAGGGGTGACAGCAATGGCGGAAGTTCAGGAGCTTCCGGGGTGCAGTTTGCCCAAGAAGGTTGTGAACTGAACATGCCCACCTTTGAATGGTTTCAAGAGATTTGACGTGATCCTTTGAGAGGAAGTCGATGGATCCCTCGCACCCTCCGACGGATGAAAAGCAAACCCTGTCGGCCGGTGAAGCGGAGGATGGTGAGATGATGTGAGATGGATATTGTGAATTTGTATGCATTGGAACATGCATATCATGATATGAGATGGC